AAGGGGTAACTTGCTCGCAGCTGTTCCCAGTAGGAGATGCCATGCTACCTCCCAAAAAGAGAATGACAGAGATGATGTGGGCAAGAGGAGCCATGATGGATGGAGTGACAGAGTTGAAGTATCTTAGGCTGGTAGTTGGGTCCTAGCTGGTGATGCTGATGATCATGTTGACAGGAACAAGATGAGAGTGCAAGGAAGAGCGAGAAGGCAGTGTCTTTATATTGATTCTAATGTCCAGGGAGATCATATTCCAGAACTCAAAAGTTTCACCTCGTTAATATTAGTCAATATGCCAGTATCGAACGAAGACATGGTTAAGCGAACAACGGTCACGACAGAAGCCTTGATATTGCCGTATGCCGATCATCCGATGTGAAGGCTTTCGATGTTCACGACGCCTGCAGTCACATATTTGGTCTTAGACTTATTGGTAACACAGGCAGTTGTTGCTGCATCATGAATCAGATCGTTAAGTACATGGATGACTAGCCTCAACTAACTCCTTCCTGTCTCTTGACTTGCTTCAGTGTGAGCTCTCACCCTGAAGTCGTTCGATGATGTCAAGGATTATTGCTCTCTCTACCTAAGGTTCTAGTTGAGATATCAGATAGCCCATTAGGTGAATATTCTTTTCCTGGTACTAGATTCAGTGACTGGAGCATAGAAGGCCAAAGCAGGCAAAGTTACTTGTGACACATGCGATCTGAGACGTGTGGCAACGACTGGAACTAACTGCCGTGTTACACTGTTCGACACCAAGGGCTAGCCTGCGAGGCCTAGACCACGTCTGGCTTCCTCATCGACGATCGATCTACAGAGTTGGGGAGGCCACCAGCAGCGGATCCGGGGCATTAGCATGTTTCGATTACTCGTAAAGTTTTGGTCTAAGTCTGTATACTTCTAGACTGGGACATCATCGAGATTTCTCCAGACTTTCGGTGGACAAGATCTCGACTGCAGACATACTACGTAGACTGGCATACACCTGAGACGGAGGTTAAGTATCTACAACGGAGAAGACTGAGATTGACTGACATCAAAGGCTCAGAATAAAATAAGAAGGGCGAGTGAGATACAGATGATCTCTTGAAGGCCAATTTATTGAAGAATAGTTCATCTATTAACATTCGATGACTTTCTAAAGAAGAAACAAATAGCTGAAAGAAACAACACAACCTCCCAGGCTATCATGCAACGCTGAACCACATCAACCCTCATACCGCAACACCATCTAGTGACACAAACTAACTCTATACCACTCATGCCGGAGTACATTGGGCGTAGTACGGGTTGGCCGTCTTGCAAGTAGCGCCAGGGACACAAGACGTCGGGCTCTCAGCAGGCCAGTTGATGCCGCCACATTGCCCGTACAGAGACTGAGCTCCCGCAGGTACAGGAGCCGGAGAACATTGCGCGTAGTACGGATTGATGGTGGTGCAAGTCGCGTAGTCTGGGCACCTGGTCAGACCAGCGTAGTTCATGCCACCGCACTGGCCGTACAAGTTCTGAGTCGGTTCTCCTGCGGATGGTGCCGTCGTGGTCATGGTCTGGAAGGTGGTTGGCGATGGTGTCTGAGACGGTGTTCTCGTGGCGCTGGTTGGAGAGTTGTTGCTGGTGCTGATTTTACTACTTGAGCTAGGGCTTGAGCTAAGGATCGAGCTGGAGCTTGGGCTTGAGGTCGAACTTGTGCGAGTTAGAGTGATCGTCGTCGTAGCAGCAGTAGTAGAAGTTTGGATCAGGGTGGTAGTATCCGAAGTAGAGTTGCCGAAGCTGATTGTGCTTGAAGACCTGCTACTGACAACAGCAATAACAGAACTTGAAGTTGGGGGACTAGCTGAGGCCGTGATAACTGAGCTTGCACGAATCGTTGTACCGTAAGGGGTAGCACTACCAGATGCCGTGATCTGAATCCTAGATTGAGGGAGCATTGAAACACCACCTGAGATGATGGCACCACCAGGAATGACATAGTCGTTGAGGTTGTCTCGGTAGATGTTGTACAGGATACCGGGGTCGTTGGCGCCATAGAGAGCGGTTCCTGGTACTCCAGCAGGATTATCCGTTCCGGAGCCGGTGATCTCCAGGTTGATGCACTGAGGGTAACTTTGCGCTCCGTTCTGCTGGCCGGCACTGTGAAGGGCAATGATGTCGTGACGAAGAACGTAGTGGCCTGGAGCAACATTGGGTGGGATACGGACGGACCAGGCGTTGCCGTTATTGATCAACACGGTTGCGGCCCACTGGTTTGTCTGTTGGGGAGGGTTGATCAAGCCTGCGCCGTCAATCTTGAAGAACTTGAGTGCTGTCTTATCGACGGCGTTGCAAGGTCCATTGCAGTTTGCCAGGAAGTCCATAACGGGGCCCTTGTGACTGTCAGGCCATTCCGTCCATTGAAGCTGCACAGTATCACCGGCAGCAACTGTGATTCGACCCTTGCCAGACACTGCTTGTCTGTGGCAGATGATGTCCGGAGCATTATAAGCGTCAGGTGCGACAAAGCCGTTGTCGCGTTGATCTATCGTCCAGCCGGCTACGAGAGGAGGGTTGTTCGTGTATGGGTCCTGGACGGGGATGTAGTTGCGGTATGAGACGCCGTTGACGACAATGTTGGTGACATGGCCGTGAGCAGCGACCGAAACAGCAGATGCCAAGATGGCGAGAAGGCCAGGTGTCTTACGGTTGCCCATTATATAAAAAGAATGTGAGCCGGCGTTGAAGAACGTCCGAAAGAGGAAGGGATGAGCAACGAATGAAAAGAACGAGTGTGTGTAAACGAAATTAGAAAGAGTGATGATCCTTTCGTTCGGAGTCGACGCTTCGAGAAGCGTTGATCTTGATACTTTATACTCGATGACCCCGCTGAGCACTGAGTTTATTCGCGTGAGATCACCATGTGGGAGCCAGGGATAGGGTGAGTCAAACATTCCAAACATCGGTGTTCCCTCACATGGTCTTATATTTTGCGAAAGGGAGTCTCGCCGTCGTCTCCCTGGCTAGCTGAAAGCTCAAGGCGCGCCATGAGTCCGCCACCGATTCTAAGCTTCTTGGGCGTGCCTCAATGTTGCCCTCTTCTGTCACGACCCATGAGGCACGATGAACTCTCCAACATGATGCCGGAAGTAGGGGCAGCTTGAAGCCCATCACACGCCACGTGGATCAGACTAAGCGCCTCTCCATCAACCTTAAAAGAGAGGCTACTGGCATCAGAGAGGTGGATCAAAGTCCAGATCAAAGTCTAGCCGCCCGTCGCAAACGTCTTGACTCCGTGCCGCCAACTGCGGAACCGGTCCGCGGTTGGAGCAGAAGCTTGAGATCCACGGTCTTCCCGGAATCACGTTTAGCTCCTGGTTAAGCGAGTGTTCGATGTGCGGGAGCTAGACGCAGCAAAATCTGCAATCAGGGATGCAAGGGAGAGCGTCCCGAAGAACCCTTTCCCCAGAGCACGTATTCGCAAGTGGAGGTTGGCGGGCAGTGAGAGGCAACCGAACCCAGGTTCCGAGTAGTAAGATATCATGACCGACCAGTGAACAAGACAACTCTGACGTTCCAAATAATTGTGTATGTGCCTTCGAAAAAGCTCAGTCAAGACATATGGGGCAGCTAAATCTGTTCCGTGAAGTCTGGAGACACGACGAAACGCTGCTTAATGACTAGCGCCTTTGCCCGACAGTCTAGCCTCCTGTCAAGCTCGATAGCGTGAAGATATGTAACCATTTGTCTTAAAAATGCTCATCGGCGGCTTGTGTGACTCAATCGCGATTCCGCGGGCTTCTTCGGACTTTCTTACTCGATCAACTTGGCAGGGCGGCAAACCCAGGCCATTCCCTCGCCGAGTAAATGGCAGGCTGATTCTGCCCACAGAATCATTGCAAGCTACTGGAGTCGAAGCCACACCTGAAGTTTGTCAGATCATGGTGGAGATGTCTTCAATCTTCATTCCATTCGAGACGCTGGGATAGAAATCAGGAATCACAGCCTCGACATCGTACCTCAAGTAGGACGATACGAGGACGTGGCTGACCCTGACCATGTGAGCTCACGTGAGAAGATGCACTAGGAACAGGCGACAAAATGCTATAGAGCACCCCTTGGAATGACAAAGATTTTAACTTGTCAGTCTGCGCCTACTGCTGATCTTATCGGCTCATGGGCACACCACTCGCCCAGTCCAGATGTTGCGCATAGTGCAGGGCTCAGTGAGAGTGTCTCTCTGCGAGTCCCTACCGAGGGCTGAACTGAGCTGCTGCCTGAATCACTCATCGGCCTTGCGATTGGGCCTATCTCAAACGAGAGAACAAGCAGGCTAAAAGGGGGACAAGCGGACCTTGGCAAAATACTTTGGCCAGTCATGCACGTAAATGGTTGTTTATTGTTCAAAGTAAGACACATCCAATGCCCCATGCTCAGTGATGTTGAAGAATTTCAGGTGCCTTCCCCAAATTGGAGGTTAGATTGCTGAACAACGGACGTTTTCATCCAAGAATGGCCCAGCCATGCTCAGCGGGTGCTAATGTTAACGCCTCCTTGAAATTGAAAGCTGGGAAAGAAAAACGCCCCAGCAAGGTGTAGATTGCCTCCGAGAACGGGCTCTAGCTTCCCAATTCCATGGCCTTGTATCGTGACGGTACCTCGAAACAGGCGGTGGCCGGCGTTAGGAGTGCAGCGATACCATGTGGATGGCCCATGGCACAGGTTTTCGGCGGAGCACTTCCTGGCGGATTGACACACGGGAGCGTTACGGACCGGAAGAGCAGTGGTACCACCGCTGTTGATGCTGCCTTATTGTTGACAGGTAGTTGAAGTATGCCCCGTTGCCTATGTGGATGGAAACGGCGACGCCTCGAATCCGAACAAGGGGTGGGATGTGATACGATGTTGCCGATGGGCGTATTGGTGATGTGCGTATGTTTGTTTACCAAGGAAAGACACATCAGTGGCGGTAGGTCCTTAATGTTGTCATCTCCGTCTTACACCGCGGGCTTGCGCCCACGACTGGTGTCTCAGCCTTCGATGATGGCAATGTGGAAGAACATGAAGGGCATAAGAACGACCAAGCAAGCATTGCGCATTGTAGAACGCGCGACGCCCAACGCAACATGCTTGAGGATGATGCAGGTGAGGAGTATAGCGTTCAAGGCAGAGCTAACGCGGAAGATTGAAGTACGTGCCATGGTCTTGGTTTGAGTTGAATGGGGAAACTGGGGTGGTTCGCAATACGTGAGAAAGCGAGCAAGAACGAGTTGAGATGTGATGTGTGAGATGATTGCATTGCAACAGGACCGTTTACGAAAGGACAGGCCGCGCTGGTCCCTTTTTGAAGTTTCTGTCTCATCCATCGGACGTCGTCCCCCTTTTGGGCGCCTCCTATGAAAGAAGACCAAGCAGGCGGACCTCCTATTGCAATAAACCACCACGGTAATCCAGGTACGATGACATCCAGTCATCGGACGAGAACCCACGATACCGGCCCTTGTCTGCCTAGGGTTCATGTCCCCTCGGATCCTGAGGGAGAAGGCTTGCAGTGTGCATGAAGGGCATGTAGACAGCTTCTGGGTAATCTGTGGCGCCCATCTTGCAGACGGGCGCTCGAGCATCCGGTGCCTGAAAGCAGAGGAAGGCTTCGGGGGTCCTGCCTCTGTCACAGGCACGGAAATATCCTGACATTGACTCATCGGCGTTCCTGGAGGCCGGCGGGGAGAGAAATGCCCAAAATCCTCAGATGACCTGCTACGATGAGCCCCTTGGTGCTACTGACAGCTGCATTCTCCATGCAGGCACCCTGCACGACCTGGTGGATAAATGGGTTGGCACTCTCCTCGAACCCAGTTTCTGGCGTCGTACGAAGAAAGTTATAGCGAAATCCCACAGATACGGACGTATTTAAGTCTGACGGAGGGGTAACACAACCTTGGGATTCGCACGTAAATTGGGATAAATGGGAGAGTGTGACGCAAAGGACTAATTTTAACGCAGAATGTTCTATTAGGAGTAGTGGCTCGGTGGCCCCTGAGACTATGGAGTTTGGATTCCAGCAGGACGAAATAAAGTACACAGAGTACAGCGTTTCGATGGTTGGGTTTTCCTTTGCGTCGCTTTGGTCAAAATTTGAAAGGAGGATATCATACCGTATCTCATCATGGTCGTAGAGGAGAGAGTTGTTCAGAGTTTCGAAAGTTTCCGTTCCCCATAACGCCAAGAATCTCGCAGCCCAAGTACACTTCTAGTACAGCAAAATTACATTTGGATGTGTTGTTGTTCGCACTCGCACTTTGCAGTCGGCCGTTGGTTGGATGTGTTGTTGCATATCGACCGTTGGACGGCTCGCTTGAAAATCCCTTTTCTAGAATTCACCCTCGGCACTGTTCCCGATGACCCCGGCAGTCCAAAGTCCGACCAGGCCCCACCAGGAGACCTTCCAGCCGCGCCATAGGCCGTCGAGTCCTTGACCCTTACGGTAGACCGTTTCTGCAACCTTTGGCTTGCCGCCCCTGACTTTCTTTACCGGTGCGGGTGCGGTGGGGATCGCCCGGGTGCCTTCCTCATTCATAATGTAGAGCATGGTTCCGAGAACACCTTTGTAAGGCCCAGCCGGGACAATCGTCTCGAGCTTCTGGTCCTTGCCTGATAGGGCCCGGACGTGTGCGGGGGTGGAGAGAACGGCAACTTGTCCGCGCCGGAGAACCGTCTCCAGAGGAAGCTTGACGAACAGTGCCACCGAGGAAGCGCAGAATTTGGCAACTGAGAATGTCGTGGGAGAGACGCGGCTGTCGATAAGGAATCTAGTGCGCAGGACAAGTGGTGTCGACAGGGTGAGGATGGGGTGAATGAGCGAATGGAAGATCGTAGGGATGGCGAGCGAAGAGGGGCAGACGTAGGATGGGAGAGTACGCAGGGTCGAAAGTGTTCTCCTAGATCCCTTTGAATTTGGTGTGACGAGAAGTCTTTGCCGGAGTTAGCACTGCTTTGGGATCAGAATGAATACGAAACAGCCAGTGACATACCTTGTGCGCACCAGGTCCAGAGGTGCGAGAATGAGGCCCGTTGCAACAGCCGCAGCAGCGGCAACGCACAGGGAGGCCCACGGATAGGGCGAGGCAATATCAATCAGCCGATCAATATCCTCCTTGACGCCGAGATCTGGCACATTGAACAAGGCGCTCAAAGCACTTCTGGACCAATTTTCCAACAGCGAGGAGAGCACAGAGTATAAAAACGTTGCGTTCGATCCCTTCCACACGCCCCAAGCTCCCTCCTTTTGCCACAGTTGGCCAATAACTTCCATCAACGAGTCAGATCGACGGATTGTGATCTGATGAGCCGGTACGGCCTGCTGCTTCGCTGCTGGCGTCTGTGGAGGCGTTGAGGAGGAGGGAGACTGGCGGCTGCGGTGTTCCCTGGAGTAGGACGGGGTCGGCGTACTCGGGACATTGGAGGTGAAGTAGGCAGGTTCGTCGAGATCCGAGTCGGAATCGGCTTCGTCATATGCAGCATTTCCATAGCCAGAACGCTTTCTCTCAGAGACAGGCGTGGCCAGGGGCGTAGGTACTGCTGCCAAAGTCATGTCATCGTGACTTCGGACCTGCAGAATCGTCTTTGCAACCTCAAAAGGCTGGGCCATCAGGACGGAGGTGTACTTCCATAGTAGCTCATCGACGAGGTCCTTGACAGTCTGAACGACTGAAGGAGATGGCTCACTGATATAGTCCTTGTAGTCGATGTCGGAAAAGATGTCGCGTGCTTTAGACGCGTACCGTTCGCTCGTTGCATTGGCTCCATGACGGGCAAAAGGGTTCGGTGCGGATGAGGCAGATGTCGGATCAGGAGGCTCTCCTATAGTCGGCGGCTTGTAGTATGGTCTCAGGGGATTCACCCCTTCTCGATGAGTAGCCATGTTCTCGTTTGGCGTTTGTTTATGGCTCAACTCCCGTGATGCATGATTTCGTGAGCTTTCCACTTTTGCTACCAATTTTGCATGATGAAATGGAAATCACCTCGGAGATAAAGACTAGCGGGGCCAGCACACGACAGTCAACGCGCCTTCCCTGGTGCTCTCTGGTGCTCTTGCTGCTTGGTTACAGCTGAAAAGAACTCCGCTGATGAACCGACCAATGGGATCCGCCCCTTTGAGGATTCTGACGGCAGGAAAGGCCCATGGCACCTTCTCCGTGCCTTAGGTACCTCCGCTGCAGTGGGCCAGGGTCTCCGGAGGCGGAACATTGCGAATCGCCGGCCGATAAGCCCGAGGGGTGGGGGCCTTATCGGAGCTCCTGCAGGCGTCCGAGCCTATAGAATTTTCGCTGAATCCAATGCATCTCCACAGTTCCCTCGCGCATTTATCGAAGCTTTCCAACAACTTTTTGTCATTGCTCGCGGGCACCCACCACCCACGAACCGAGCAAGCTAAACAACTCATCTGACTGCTGAACCCAGGTGTTGCTGTGTACAATCCTCTCACAACTCTGCGTCTTTACTTGTTCTCCTTCCACCGTGCTCCCGAACTCGAGGGTGGCTTCGATCGATTCCCTTGACACTGAGAAGGGCAAGCAATCCCGGCTGTGAAGCCGAGAACGGACTCAAACCCAGCAACCATGTCTTCAACCAGACTCAGCACAAGCCTCCGCAGGATGGCTGCCAGCGCATCCCGACTGGCCCGCCCAGTGCAACGGCAGACCCGAAGCATCCACAACCAGATCACATCAAAGAGGACAACACAGCTTCCCTCCAGACAGCTTCAGTGGCCCTCAGCGCGTGCTTTCTCGGCTTCGGCTGCCCAGGCGCATGGCCACATCACCCCTCCGAAGGCCGGCGAAGAGTGAGACCGTCCACAACAGTCTACCGAGACTTATACTGATAATCTCCCATAGGTTGTGGGTAACATTCGTTGACAAGGACGGAGACGAGTTCAAGATCGCTGTAAGCGAAGGGGATAACCTTCTTGATGTTGCGCAGGACAATGACTTGGAGATGGAGGGTATGTCACAACACTCTTGGCGGCAACGTCAGGGCATGTAATATGCTAACTGCTTATCTTTAGGTGCTTGCGGAGGCTCTTGCGCTTGCTCAACGTGCCACGTGATCGTTGCCGAAGAGGAATACTACGAGAAGATGCCCGAGCCCGAAGATGACGAGAACGACATGCTCGACCTGGCCTTTGGATTGACCGAGACGAGTCGATTGGGCTGCCAGATAACCATGACAAAGGAGCTAGACGGCCTCAAGATTAAGCTGCCCTCGATGACACGGAACCTTCAGGCCAGCGACTTCAAATAAACAAGCACCCTCTTTCAGCATTGCGGCGTTGGAAGCGGCATACCACACAATTATTTAATCATCTGTACTATATCATACATACACCATGTCAGAAAAGGAAAGGAAAGGATAGGGAGGGTTAGCGGGGAGAAAAAGCTGGGGAGGTGTTCTTCATCAATCAAGCGCGGCATCACGGATGGAATACATCGGCTCGGCTCGGCTTATGCTAGATATTGGCGGGTATCGAGGGACGGTGGGAGGGAATAACGTCACTCCTCTTAAGCTCATAAACCTTGACAAGTCTGGTGGACCAATCTGGTGAACGAAGTGATGAAAAGAAACAGTCACGCCTGTACAAAGGCGTTGCAGAATTTTGGTTTGCCATTGGTATCCTTTTTGAATTAAGCCTCCTCCAATCCGCCCTTCTTCAGGCCTCCTCCTCCGGACGCAATCAGGTCCAAGAATCCCTTCTTACTCATCTCGTTGATCTTCTCCTCCCTCCGCACAACACCCACGACGCCGTCCTTGCGCGCCTTCTTCTCCGCCTCAGCAGCCTTGACTTGCGCCGCTCTCACGGCGTTGAAGAGCTTGACAACACCTCTTTGCGCGACCTTGCGCAGCCTCCGCTCCGTCTCAATCATCTCCCCCGTTGACGTCTCCTCCGTCTCCGGCGCCACAAGGACGTTGCGCACGCGGCCCTTCTCCATTGCCTCCTTCTTCTGCGCCCTCATCTGCTTGCGCGCCTTGGACTCGAGCGCCTGGTCGACGGCCGCCTGGGCGGACTGGTGGGCCTCCGCACTGCGGGCGAGGACGGGGTCTGATCGTTTCGCGTTGGACAGTTTGGTAGACAGAATTTTCGACATTGACGTTGAGAAGGCAGACGGATCATTGCGTTTAGACTTGATGAAATTGGGATTGCCACCATCGTCGCTCTCGTCTTCTTCTGAGTCGGAATCCGAGTCGGTGCCTACGGGCGCGTCTCTGCTCTTCTTGGGCTTGGGGGCAGGTTTTGTCTTCTGTTTGGGTGCTGCGGGCTTTTCGTCGCCTGAGCTGGCTGAATCATCGTCCGAGGCAGCGCCGTCATCGACAGCCGCGTTATGAATATCATCGTCAGAATCGAGAAGGTTCACCGCATCGAATTCTTGTTCTTCGTTGTCGGAGGCGGATTCGGCTTGCTTCTTTTCTTGTCGCTTTTGCTTCTTGGTTGGGGGCGCAAGACGGCCATCATTTGTCCGCTTCTTCGTAGTTGTTCCGGCCATGGTTGTGGAATATGTGTTACAGTCAATTGGTGTTGATGCAGTGTAGTGATTCAGATCCTCGACTTGGCTTGAAAAAGTTCCCCATGCCGTCTTGCAGGGTCAAATTTTTGGGTTCGGCAGGTGGGGCCATCTTCTTATCGTTGATGTACTTTCTCCGATAAGCC